TCTTGTTCGCGGGCGCACCACGCTCTAGAGGACGTTCCCCATGTGAACCGCATCGCGGGCCCCCTCTCTTGAGATCCCCGAGCCCGGAGGTGGGGAGCGTTTGGGAGGGAAGCGACCGGGGCATGGGGTCCGGGTCCGGAAGGAGGAGTGGTGTCCGGCCTCGCCGCCGCCCCTCCCGGCCTCGACAGCGTCACCTGCGGTGGGGGCCAGGCAGCGCCCCGCCGGAGCCACCCGCTCTCCACTGAAAGCGGCGGTGGCAGGAGTTCCAGTTAACCATTTACTGAGAAAACCCCGAAACTATGCATGCATAGTACGGCTTTATAGCTGGAATGTGACTTCCATGCTAATAAAGTACTCAGCCTTCAGAATTAAGGGGACTCCGTCCCTTTTCCTCCAGAAGGAATCGTTTCACACGAATAACAAAGAATTGTCCGCAAGGCCCAGTTTTAAATGGCACTTCGCTTACCTCTCAGTATCTGCCAAGCAATAGACAAGACACTTTGTCCCGTGAAGTAGACACTTGGCTCATGTGTTAGGACTCTGAAAGATTAAGGCACAAATCGGGAATCACTGCCCTTTTAAATGTTTTGTTTTTTCTTCAAATTACCTGTGCCCTGAGGGAAGGCTTAGGCTCCAGCCCTTCACTAATTGTGGCCAGCGCGCTGCTGCCACTGTGGCCACCAGTGGTGGCTCATTTGTTCAATAGGTGCTGAAGGCAAGGAGATACTACTGTGTTTGACTACATGCCGCCATCGTTCTTGTCCCATTTGATATTTGCATTGCTTGGGAAACAAGACTTAGTGGCATCACAGTTGACAAAGTAGGTTGACAAGTTCAAAAGAAAACTTTCTTCAAAGTGTCTGGCAGATGGGCCAAACAGTAAGTATATCACTTGTAATTTTAGGCCACATCTCAGATATAGACAGGGATTCGGGCATTCTGGTTAATAGTGTTTTTCTAATGCAGGTGAGATTTTATTTTTCAGTTCAAACTGGAAAAGGAGGACAATGGCATCAAATAGAAGACCCTGGACATCAGGAAATGTAAGTATAATTATGCTGGCTGATACCTTGTTATGGGTGTTTAGAAGCACAGAGCCTCAACCTTGTAACTATATCATTAATCCGCATTGTCAGCACACTATCAAGAAAGCCTTCTCTCTGAAATCAATAAAGATATATTTTTTTAAAAAAAGAAAAAGAAAATCTCATAAAAATAGAACTGTCCTGAAGATTTTAGCTGAGCCAAGTACACTTTGAGGGAAAAATAAAAGTCCTTTTCCTAAAATGTCACCCAAAACACTTCATAAGTCACAAGACAAATTATAAGTATTTACAAAAACTCAATTAGAATCAAAGCATTATAGAATTTTCAGGAAGAATATTAAGGATCAATTATTCAACAAATATTTATTGAGGGCTGTCATGTGTCAGGTAACAGCTAGGGATACAAAGATGATTAAGGAGGTCACAGTATTGGTAAAATAAAAGTGTGTATGAAATGCTGTAGAAGCACAGGAAAAACTCAGCACGCAGCACCATCCTTGCTGACCTTCAAACCGACACTCCAGTTGTAATATTTCTTTGAACTTATTGGTGACTGAAAAACACTGGAGCGTCTGGAAAGTTCTTGGTAATTTTTATTGGTGATAAAAATGCAAATGTCTTTGGTTGTGGGAGGGGAAAAAAAAGACTGCCACTTTTCTGCTTAGAAATAATTTAGCTTCAGAAATTTGGAGACATAAACAACTTATAGGATTTAGGGTTAATTCTTCCCGGAGGATGCAGGTTAAATTAATGTAAGATTTGAGTTTAGGTTCCCCTCTGCATACTGTAATACTACCTACATTTGTTTATTTTTTTCAAACTGACTTTTCCTGAGGTCTGATGACCTCAGGCTGGCAACTTTGAAGCACACATCTTTGGAGAAGGGTTGAGTTATTTAACTGGCTGGTTCCTGTTCCCAAGGAGGGTAAGGAAAACCTAAAAAAGGGACAAGACCCATTTTTTACAGTATACTTTAAAATTAGTTTCATTTTCATTTTCATTAATTTCTTTTAACCACCTGTGAAATAAGTATATTGACCCTATTTTACACCTAAAGAAACAACAACAAGGTAAGTTTCCACATAGCTCTAAAGTGTGGGAGCCAAGATAACTGACTTCTTCAGTCTTACTTTTTTCACCATAGTCCACACTCAATTTCTTTCTCAAGAACTTCCTTTCCCTTCCCCACAATTCTGCACGGTAAAATGTGTTCACCCATCTTGACTTCAGACAGTTCCCCTGGGTTCTAATTTTGGTATTTAATAGTTTTCTGCAAGCCAGTAATTCTCAAGAGGGTGGGGAATGGCAAAGCTTCCCTAGGTGGGGCAGGTGAGAATATTCTTGAATAAGGAGAGAGGGTAATAATGGCAGTGTTTTGTGCCTGGGAACAGTGGAAGCAGCATAAAAAGTTGAGAACTACTACTAAGTGAGAACAGGTTGGACAATTGAGCAAAAAAGCAAGGCCAGTGATTTCCTTTGTAGCAGACTCCTCCCTTCCCCCTCCCCCATTTTCACCAAGCACTTTTTCTAAGGGTTGGGAAAACTGAAAACCTCCAGGAATAATGGGGAAAAGTTCCTTGGGCTAAGAAGGACCCTTTGTCTTCCCCTTACTGCCCCTGGGCTGTGATTACAAGCTATGGCTCTAGTTGAGGGGGGCTGAGGTAGTGACAGAAGTTTGCCTATCAAGGGTGGAGATGACCTTTTCTAACCATCATTCCCAGCTTACAAAGTTTGTGATAAAGCACTCTTGTGATGTGGGAGAAAGCTTCTGGAGGTTTTCCAGAACTATTTCCCAGTCCCAGCATACCCCTGCCTGAAAAAATAATCTCTTTTTGCAGACACATCTAGATTTATGCAAAAGAGGTGGTCCTGAAATTTTGAAATCAAATTTAATGTAAATGAGATAAGGCAACAGAAAAGATCTTTGATTTTTATGTCATCAAATTTCCTTAAAGGGTGTGATTTTAAAATATGAATATTTTAGAAAACATAGGTTTTACATATTTGATCACTTATCCACCTTAATATGAGTATATTCCTCAGGGACCCATACCTTGAAGATGAAACTGTGATGGTTTTTTGGGTTTCTCCTTTCACAATAAACAGCAGTATATTATTTTCTGGAACTATTTGAGGATAGATATGCATTCACCTAAGAATTTTATGGAACAGTTTACCCAAAGATCCATTAGAAACGATCACTCTTTGCTTAGTTAGTGCTCAACAATTATGTCACATAACACTACATTATAAATCCATTTTCAATTTATCGGTGCTTCCCAAATTCTTTAGGTGAATATAAACCACTTTTATGAGTCAAGAGATTCTTTACTCCACCAAAATGCCCTACTACTTTGCCACTGCAAAAAGAAGAAAGTCACCAGAGGATGAATGGTGATGTTTTTAGGTAGACACTAACTAGAACCATCAAGAGTCCATTATTAATTCATGTCAGACACAAATGAATACATGTAGCCATATTATGTATACCCAGGCATTGACAGTTCAGTCCCAAGGACCACTAATGTTATTTTTGTCATAGGACTTTATATCATTTTCCTTGTTCTGGCTTATTTCTTTAAATCTTTTATTTCTCCTGGACCTCCTTCCCCTACCCTTCAGTTCTCCAGAATCAAGCATAGTGTTGGGTAATAATAATAAATATAATAATAAATGTTCACAACTGACTCACTAAAAAGGCATGCTTATACTTTCAAAAGGGGATTCTGGTTTGCTTTGCCTTACACTGCAAAAAATTGCGTAATCAAGTCTATTGCAAGCAAAATGGCTACCACTCCAGGGTAGAGGAGTGCCGTCGTTTCAAAGCATATTCCTTGTCCTTGCCAGAGAATACTAATATCATACTTGTTCTCCATAAAAAAAAAAATAACAAAATGCAATTTGCAAAGAGAAAATGAAACTGGCAGCTTTTACCCCCCTATATGGGCTTTTCCATACTCTGTGAGTAGATTTGGGAATAAGCCATTAAAGGATATCTTGCCAATAAAAT